CAGCCATTGACTCTTTGTGTCAGGTTGGTATCAACGGCTTTGGTCGTATCGGACGTATCGTCTTCCGCAATGCGTAAGTAGTCGTCAATCCAGAGACGCAGGCAAGTTCGACACTGACAGACTGTGTCCAGCATTGAGCACAACGATGTCGACATCGTCGCCGTCAACGACCCCTTCATTGAGCCACACTACGCCGTAAGCACCACCCCACCCCACCCCACCACACCAACTTGTCCATCGCCATCGGTTACACAATGCTCTGCGCATTCAATGAGCAAATCACACAGTAGAAGATCACCGCGCTGACTCCTCTTCAGGCCTACATGCTCAAGTATGACAGCACACACGGCCAGTTCAAGGGTGACATCAAGGTCGATGGCAACAATCTGACCGTCAACGGAAAGACCATCCGTTTCCACATGGAAAAGGACCCCGCCAACATCCCATGGAGCGAGACTGGCGCATACTACGTCGTCGAGTCCACCGGTGTCTTCACCACCACCGAAAAGGCCAAGGCTCACTTGAAGGGAGGAGCCAAGAAGGTTGTCATCTCGGCACCATCTGCTGATGCTCCCATGTTCGTCATGGGTGTAAACAACGAGTCCTACAAGTCGGACATTGAGGTGCTCTCCAACGCTTCGTGCACAACCAACTGTCTGGCTCCCCTCGCCAAGGTGGTCCACGACAAGTTCACCATCATTGAGGGTCTCATGACCACCATTCACTCCTACACTGCCACCCAAAAGGTGGTTGACGGTCCCTCCGCCAAGGACTGGCGTGGTGGCCGTACCGCTGCTCAGAACATCATTCCCAGCAGCACCGGTGCCGCGAAGGCTGTCGGCAAGGTCATCCCCGAGCTCAACGGCAAGCTTACCGGAATGTCCATGCGTGTCCCCACTGCCAACGTCTCCGTTGTCGACTTGACTGTCCGCATCGAGAAGGGCGCTTCTTACGACGAGATCAAGCAGGCCATCAAGGAGGCTGCCGACGGCCCACTCAACGGTAGGTGACTATAGATTTCGAGCTCCAGAAAGCAAGAACTGACTCTTTCCAGGCATCCTCGGATACACCGAGGACGACATCGTCTCCTCCGACTTGAACGGTGACAACCGTTCTTCCATCTTCGATGCTAAAGCTGGTATCTCCCTCAACAAGAACTTCGTCAAGCTCGTCTCCTGGTATGACAACGAGTGGGGTTACTCCCGCCGTGTGCTCGACCTCTTGGTCTACATTGCCAAGGTCGACGGTAACGCATAGGAATCAGGACGGAGCCAAGCAACACCTAAACTCTAGGAAATGATCTTCAGCCCCTCATAGGGTGCGCCCCCGGAAAAGTAAAACTCCCATGGCACTTCAACGTTATGTCAGATATGAATCAATAATGAACACTTGACAATCTTATTCGCTTGAGGAACTTGTGTGTGGAAGCGTGATGTAATGAATACTAAACTCCTCATCTATTTGCATGGATAGAAAGCCACCCAAGGCCCCCTGTCAATAACTCTATTTGGACTTGGTCACATGGCAATAGCCTGCATATCAACTATGTAGGTGCTAAGTCAGTTCCCGCTTTCCCGAAGCAAGCTTCCGTGACTTTGACTAGATACGGAAAAGCCCCGAGGTAATCATTGTGTGCACAGATTCCGCGTTTACATGGGGGATTACATGGTACGGGGAAAAACGGACTCGGACGGGGGGGATATCTCCTAGCTACCAACCTATGGGTTCGGTGGGGTGGGCTGGCTTTATCGACGGCTTTGAAACCCCGTGATTTGGGGAATGTGGTGTTCAAATGTTGTGATGTGATGTGATGGGAGTGAGGGTCATAGGAATAAGGGTAATCGGAGCAAGGGTGATGTTTTAGATAGGGATTGGGGTTGGGATAGATTACTAGAATTGGCGGGTTCTCTTCTTTTCTTTTGGTTCTCTTTGGAATAGTGTAGAGGGATTGTTTGCTATATTGTAGTGAAGAGTAAAGTGTAGTATAGTGAGATGTAGTATACGTTTAGAAGAATACATTCACGTTTCAAGGTACCCTAATTGTGATAAGGGGAGGGTCTGAAAGTACTCTAATTGCAACAAGAGGAGGTCCTGGAATAAGAAGGAGACTAACGATGGTTGTTAATTACGTGGTTAGGTAGGTTATAGGGTTGAAGGTCTTAGGGCTGAGGGTCTTTTAGGGGGTGTGATGTAAGCATGGTGTATGTGTGTGAAAGTTCTCTTTGTTGATGTTACTGTGGAGGCGAGAGTTGGGTTATATTCTTATATCTGTATAGACTTGTGTGTCGAGATGTTCTCTTGGAAAGACTGAATATCTATCGCAGCATAATCATACAATGACTACCCTTGCCATTGTGATTCTATACATGTTCCTCTCAGTCACTATTGAAGAAGCAATGTAGACAGACTGGGATGGAGGCATGACGGAGGTGCCAGTGGTGAAGGGTGAAGCTTGGGTTAGTTTCTCGCCCCCCTTGAGTGGCTTTATAGAATAAGATGCAAAGCATAGTGCTTAATGAACCACACTCTAAGCCCATACTAAAGTAGGAAGCAATGACTGACCTCTGCTATTAGATGTGACTCCGTGAAGGGTAGGAGCAAGTGAGGCTAAGACTACAAGTGGCCTAGCCTTGCCAAGCCACCCTTGAACCCTTCGATCGCGTCTGGATGCCCATCCATAAATCCACCCGCTCCCTGTATGCTGCCAACCATCAACTCTGCTAAATTGGCGCAGATTTACCTCGCTGTATTTGTGCTCTTCCACCGTTTTCAGCGTGCGTTGTGATATAATTATAGTTGTAAGTTCAGAGATTGCGATCGATCCTCGGACAGCAAGGTCACGTCAACTGCAGCATCACGGGATATGCGACCAGGTTACCTTTACTTACTTTGCAATAGAGGTTCACAAACAGCGTTCCCATATTCTGCGTCACTGGCCTATCTTAGCGGGGTGTCGCTTTCCTGTATATGCCGGGCGTGACGCGCCTTTTAGCATCCTGCCGACAGAGACGCACACCTACCTTGATCATCGAACACAACTGTATCGATGCGGTGGTAACATAGAGAGGAAGTAACGTCAGTATCCCCGATTTTGAACTTGCTTTGCGCGTCTGGTGTGCTAGATGGAACCATTCACATACGAACGTTGAATGTCAGACCAACTCCTTTTCTCGCCACCTCTATAATCTAACACGATATTCCATCAGCTTCCTTCCGAAATTGGTCTGATCAGGTCAGGCCTCTCGATCAAACTGCGACCGCAAATTTCCATTTGTCTTTAACTTGTGCTACGGGCTCTGGATTTGACCACATAAGCCGGTTGTCCCACTCGGTGTCCAGACTGATATTACCAAGCAGCTATCGAAAAGGACCGCAATGAATGAGGGATCTCAAGCCCGCTTCACTGGCGACTCTCGGGAGATGGAAGACGAAGATGTTCCCATGGGCGAGGACATCATCATGGACTCAACCGAGCCTAATGGTGATCTCATCCCAGAGACTGTCGCCCCTTCCGAGATATTTGGAGCTCCAAAAGGTTCTCATTTACCAAAGAAGGACCAGTTACCATTCCACAACCAGTCAAAAGTCTCGTCATTACTGCAATCAGAGTCCCGTCATTCAAGCTCACGTAGAACTACCGCGTCTCCTAGTGGCAGATCTGATCGAATGAGCATTTCACGGCCAGGGCTTGCGCGTCGCTCCAGCCCTCAAGTTCGCATCCCACCAAAGCCAAGGTCTTTGACTCTGCAATATCCGACATTAAGAACTGGACTAGTCTACGATCCTCGCATGCGATTCCATGCCGAGCTACCGGATTCTAGTCACGGCGCAGACGACATTCACCCTGAGGATCCACGGCGGATTCATTCAATCTTCGAGGAAATCAAACAGGCTGGACTTGTAGATGCCGTGAATGAGGAAGGAGACGCACGAGAAGACCAGTGTTGGCGAATCGGCATACGGCCTGCAACAAAACCCGAAATTCTCCTGATACACACGGAAGAGCATTACGCTTTCGTAGAATCCTTGCAATGTTAGTCTACACCTGTTTGAAACAGTATGTACTTACTATAAATAGACATGGACGCCAGCCAGTTGAAACTGGAAGCGGAGCGATTAGATTCGATCTACTTCAACCGCTCGACCTATGATTGCGCACGGCTCGCAGCTGGTGGTGCAATTGAAGCATGCAAGGCGGTAGTCGAAGGCTCCGTACGCAATGCGATAGCTATCATCCGCCCGCCAGGACACCATGCTGAGAGCGACCAACCTTCTGGCTTTTGCATCTTCAACAATGTCCCAATTGCAATACGGGTGTGCCAAGACGCGTATCCTCAAACTTGTCGCAAAGTCTTGATACTGGACTGGGATGTTCATCACGGTAACGGCGTCCAGCACGCATTTTACAACGACCCCAACGTACTATACATCTCTTTGCACGTATATCGAAATGGCCACTTTTATCCTAATCTTCCTGATGGGAACCTCGACTATTGCGGAGACGGCCCTGGGGAGGGGAAGAATGTGAACATACCATGGGCGGAGCATGGCATGGGCGATGCTGAATACCTATACGCGTTCCAGGAAATCGTCATGCCTATTGCCACAGAATTCGATCCAGATCTTGTGATAATATCCGCCGGCTTCGATGCTGCAGAAGGCGATTTACTTGGCGGCTGCTTCGTTACCCCAGCGTGCTATGGTCATATGACGCATATGCTTATGAGGTTAGCCAAGGGCAAACTAGTCGTTTGTCTGGAGGGTGGCTACAACCTGCGGTCGATTGCGCGTTCTGCTCTGGCGGTGACAAGGGTACTCATGCTCGAGCCTCCGGATCGCTTGCGCGAAGATCTCGCAGCCCCAAAAGACAGTGCTGTCTATACTATTCAACAGGTAAAGCGACAACACTCGAGGTACTGGAAATCCTTGTATCCAAAGCATCTTGACAAGGCAGATCCTGGGTTCAAGGACACCGTTCGCCTACACGAGATTATTCGCGAATGGCAAAGCCAGCGACTGTCGCAGGAACACTTGATGGTCCCACTTGCTATTCCTACGAGTAAAAATGGGCTAGCACAAACTTTTGAGCACAATGTCATCGCAACGTAAGTCCTTCCAGTGTGGTCACTTATGCTTGCTAATGTCGAAAAGTCCGGAATTCATGGAAAGCAAGCCGCTCCTTGTCATTTTCCATGACCCGCCAAGCTTTCAAGATCAATCGGATCCCATCAGCGGGAAAAAGGAGTTCCACAATACTTGGCTAGTAAGTACTTGTACAGTCTAGCGCTGCTTAAACGCTGACTTTGAACGTGGAGACTGATGTGACAAAGAGGTATATTGACTGGGCCATTGAAAATGACTTCCAAGTCATTGATGTCAATATACCAAGGATCGTGGCAGTGGAAGAGGTAAGGACCCTTGTTAATTGCAATGTGACAATATTTAATCAGTCAGGACGAGTTTGGCTTTGTGAAATCCGACAACAGTACCGTTCGAGCGCAACGAGCACGCGAGCTGGCATCTTATCTTTGGGTAAACTACATAGAGTAAGTCTTCAACAGGTGTGTGGTCTTTACTGTTGCGTTAACACTTAATTAGGCCCAATGAAGCTACTCAAGTGTTTCTCATGGGCATCGGCGATGCGTATCTAGGTCTTGTAGACCTCTTGAGCCAACATGGTAAGGCCCTGGTCGAAATAATTATGCCAACGACCATATACTAAGCCAACAGAAAACACAACATATGATACAAGCCCAGTAGAGTTGCTGATTGGCTTCGTGGCCGAAACGACGATTCAATCGATCAAACGCGCCACGGACGACAACATCCAGTTTTGGTATCACGATGTAAGCTCCCATGGTAAATGATTAGGCCTCTGCTAATCCCACAAAAACAGCACACCAGAATCTTCGTCAAAAATAGCCATTATGTGTGGGACCCGTCACGCCAACGCAAAGTCCGTAGAAAGCTGGGTAACCTCGTCCGATCATCAAAGGACACATTAGATGACATGCTTGAGGAACACCTGGAGGAAATCAAAACGCTACTACTAGAGAAGAGAAGCGAGTATGACGAGAATAACGAGTCTTCAAGTCGTACTGACGAGGCACCGCAGAGCCTTGTTGGCGGACTCCGCAGCCCATCCCTACCAGGACCTTCAAGTACAACAAAACATTTCGAAGCGGGCGGGCGGCAAGAAAGCGTGGGGAAATTGCTTCGTAGCCCCAAGTTGCCACCGCTGGGCATGTTTGGCGTGTCCCCAACTGGTCCCCGAAGTCCCCGAAGTCCGATGAAGAGGACGTTCTAGGTGGTGGAGGACTGGTTCTTGACTTTCTTTCTTGGCGTGGTTAGCATGTCCTGGCGTTGGCCAAGAGATTGACTTTGATCTTGTAGCTTTGGGCGAAGTGGCCCGAAAAGGTTTTTGTTTTTTTGGAAAGGTGGGAATTTGTTTGGGCCCGAAATGCCAAAACATTTCTTCCAAATTTTCGTTATGGAAATTTACCCGGGTTTCCCGGGGGGGGGGGGGGGGGGATGTGGCAATAATGGTAGCTGTGTTGACTGCGGTACAGGTCCCCGCCACGACATGTGATGAATCTTCTTGCAAACATACATGATTGTTTGCGTCGAGTAGTGAGTGGTTACTTTGCGGACGGATAGATCCAGCCTATACACATGATCGTACCGTACTAGCAGGGAGTCTAACAGCTATAGGTGAAGGCTACCCCGCATGTCAGACGATATGCGGTGTGGCTTGTGGTACCAAACTCTTAATGCAAGCTGCAAGTGTGGTAGAGCTTCCTACCTGGGTACCAGTTTTGGCATGTTTATTCGCAAGAAATCTGTTGCTGCCCTACTAAATACGGCTTCGTTCTTTGATTCGTGGAGTACCATACCCGCTTGATTTGCATGCACATATACTTACTTGTACTGTATTGCTTTCGCGGGTATTCAGCCGATCTTGTCGCGCTAAGTCTTCTTTCGCTGTAGCGGCTTACCGACGGTGAGGGCGGGAGCTACATCCATCTCAGCTCCAACACACCTTTCACCTCATGGATAAAGATATCCACGCTATGTCCTGCCTCACGACACGCCACACAGCTGGAATTGACGACACCATAGTTCGTCACCATGTGCAATGGTGTTTACTTGCACGGCAGCGGAATCGTAAACCTCCATCATGACAGAGCCCTATCCAGTGCATCCAAAATAGCCCCCAAACTTCCTCCAGTAAGCGAGCTGCAAACTCATATGACAGCCTCCTACTCCGCCTTCCTATTACCGCCCGCCAAGTCTAGAACAGCAAGAGAAGGTTGGTGGTCGACTCCACTGTGGCTGCACGTCCAGAGTCTTGGGGAATCCTTTGTCCGTACCAACATCTGCATCATGGACAAGGAGGGCCTGATAGGCACATCCACTCAACTACGATGAGGTGCGCCACCGCATACACTCCGCCAGACTGATTGGCGAAGAATCAGCTGAGGCCGCCAGTGTGCCTATCGTAACGAGTACCGTGGTATGCTGATCCATGGCTGCAAGCCTGAGGCTGTGAAGTAATGGCATGCTTATGTAGAAGTAAGCTAGACCTGCACGCCTACCTACGTGAGTTGACGAGGGATTCTGGGCCATGGGCCAAGTCTGGTCATGCCATAAGATGAAGCCTGGTCAGCCCTAATGGAAGTGGGGTCTGTATGATTCTTTTCCTGGCTTTCGTCTTGCTGCATACCGTTACGAAGTGGTACAACTGGTTTCCTGTACTGTCACCTCTCCGTTGTGAATCATTGCCCACGACACTCCGTTGTCGCACTGCGGAGATAGTTTGGTAAAAGTTTGCTCTGCACTCCTCGGATCGTCAACCAGCGGGACCTAGATGAGTGCGTTGTGGCGCTTGCGAAGATAAACGGATATTCTCTTAGCTAGAGAGGGAGATGGCGCGATCGTCAATCATAAAGCTCGTCTCTGGCCTTGCGCTCGGGCAGTGGTTGACACCATCCGTCTTTGCGCAGACTCAGACTATATCAGAGGATTACAATGGGGCTACGACACTGATAGCAACTACCGTAGCACCTTCATCATCGGCGTTGCCAACTTCCTCGCGCGCGCCACAGACGCATACCATTACGGCTGGAAATGGGGGATTCAGATTTACTCCACAGGAGATCTCCAATGTTTCCATTGGGGATACGATAAACTTTGAATTTTGGCCGCCTGACCACAGCGTCGCGAGAGCCGACTTTGGTAGCGCTTGTGTGCGTATGTTGATCGGGATCCAGCACCTCCTGGCTGGCACGTACTGATTCTACCGCAGCATACGAGTATACTGGCAAGAATAGGACGGGGTTCTGGTCAACCACGCAATGGGTCAAGGATGCCTCTGAGGTATGTCAAGGTAAAGCCACACGTCCAGACTTACCGGCTGATATCCACGTCAAGATCACTCACTGGAACCTTTTGATTAATAGCACAGAGCCCATATTCTTCTACTGCGCAGCACCCAACTCCTGCATCGGCGAGCACATGGTCGGCGTCATCAACCCCAACTCGACGCACACCCTCGCCAAACAAATCGAGTGGGCAGAGAATGCAGACTTCCAAGTCGCACCTGGGGAGCCCATCCCCGCCGAAGCAGGAACCTCGACCACCTTTGCCAACGCCCCGGCCTCTTCTTCGTCGCCCTCGAGCGCGGAAGCACCCACCGACAGCTCCTCCTCGCACAAGCTCTCCGGCGGCGTCATCGCCGGCATCGTAGTCGGGGTCGTGGCCTTCATCGTCGTCTGCGCCGCCCTCTTCTACTTTGTCGGGCGGTCCAAATCGCTCAAGGAGAACCTCAAGCGCAAAGATGCAAATGCCCCTTCCAACAACGCCGATGCCCACCTGTCCATGTCGCAGTATGGAAGCGGCGGGTTGGGTTCTCCGGGCCATCATCCTGCTACTGGCTACCCTTCCCCTCCTGGCCCGTATGGCTCGCCCGGCCAAAACGAGTATGGATTTGCGTCGCCGCCCTTGTACGCGCAGCATGGGGCTGGGGAGCAGTATCCTGGTGGTTGGGGGACGCCGGCGCAACAGCAACAGGCGCATTTGAGTATGATGAGTGGGATGAGCCAACAGCAGTAAGTCGCTTTTTTTTCTTCTTATTTCTTTCCTTACGCCATCTCTCTTTTTCTCTTCTTCCCATGTTATTGTCACAATCGTTTTCGTGGTGGTTGGCATATCAGGTTGCAATGGGACCTGAGTGTATTTGTGACTTGGTTGGGCTAATTGTGTGCAAATATTGTAGAATCGACGAATTGAAATATGCAAGTGCAAGGTCGAGTTCGCAGCCTGCGCCTGCCGAGTTGCAATCTTGGACGCCGGCGCAAGAGGGGTATTCGGTCGAGTTGGAGGCGAGAGGGGGGCAGGCAAAGTAGAGGAGAGGAAAAGAGGAGGGGGGGGGGTGGGGGATGTGGATGGGATGGGATGGTGGAATGGTGTTTTGCATTGTATTTTTCTGTCTTCAATATATGTTGGCAAGGGTGTTTCTAATCATGAACTGCCCTCTTTTTTTTTCCCATTCTCTTTTCATCTCTCTAATTTTGTCTCTTCGTATTACGTACATGTCCGACTGAAAAGCCAAGCCTAGGGCAGTCGTGGTCTGCGTCAAAAGGGCGGGTTATAGGCCGATTATCTATCATGATGTAGTTTATTTAGTTTATCATCCCTTTGCCTGACTGTGACTAGGATTGTAAGAGATGAGATGGCGTGTGTATGTGGCAAGACGTGCATCAAGTTAAAGTATTACTCTAGAACCACCCACGTTTTCTTTCTCCCAGCGGCGTTGGCGGGGTATCTTTCAAGGTAAATGGCCAGATTGGGACTGGCGTGGATGTATTTTCAATGTTACAGGCGAGGGGCGCGGGAAGTCAGAAAGGGAACGTACTGAGGGTGGAATGTCGTCACAGGGTTTGGGGAGGTGTTGTAGTTGTGTTGAGTCCAAGTCGTATGCCACAGGTGGAGTGTACACACCTTGATTATCTCTTGGTCTCTACGACTCTATGTAGCTAGGTAGCATAGTGGACGATGGCTCGGAGGTTGAAGATGGTTGGACGTTGGCATTGGGGGCTCTAGATTGCTGTGCGCTGTGCTATTGGACGGTACCGCTCTCCGCTTCTTCTGGGCACAGCATAGGCAAGTGAAGAGAAGAGAAGTGAAGTGAAGTGAAGAGAAGAGACGTGAAGTGAGGTGAGGTGAAGGTGAAATGGTGGAATACATCAAAGTGCCATGATGAAAGCTTGTACTCTACACAGTGCCTACTGGCGTGTGCAAAGTTGCGGTGTGGAGAGAGGACCCCTTGTTGTCTCGTCAGCGGCTTGCTGTGCTGTGTAGGTAAGATGGATGCAGGCACACTCAGCATACTATTGCCTAGAAGTCGTTGGTTTTTGCACAGTGTAACTGCAAGGTAGTTTGCGTGGAGTCGACTCTACCGAAGTTGATCTCTCAACCAGCGCGGCCCAATGACATGCGCTGTTGTAGCAACGTGTGGGAGGTAGCTGGCCACTATGGCCACTACGATTTTCCTTACTCTCTCCCGCCAACTCTGGCCAGCCTGGTACCGTCCACTGCCACCGTCGCCCCAAGTTCCCGCACGCCGCACACCCCGGCCAAGCCTTTTTCACAACGGGTCCCCCCTCCCCTCCCCTCTCATCCCCTCTCCTCCCTTCATCGCCAATGGCCATGGGCCTCTTCACCTGGCACCCGTCCATGAAGCCTCTGCCCGCCAGCATCATCCTCCGCACGCCCTGAGTCTGCTGTTGCTGCTACTGCCGTGCTACTACTGCTGGTAGCTGCTGCCTCAGCCTCAGTCTCCTCTGCCTCAGTCTTTTTCTCTGCCTCTGCCTTCGCTCGGACTATGACGCTATCGGCCCAATGCTGCGGGCCTCGACATCGCCAACCCTAGCTCCCTAATTCACGACCCAGCACGCCCTTCGTCCATGGGCGATGCTCGACATGCTAACTTCCTCGCCAACCATCTCAGCGCCCTCGTCGCCCTCGACTGCATTCCACGCCTCTGCCCATCGCCCGTACCATGCCTCGCGACGCACCTCGGCCTCCTCTACCAGCGCCCACTCTCCCCGCTTCGCCTTGACCAGCGCGCCCGCCCGCCGTTTGGACGCGCCCACAACTCCACGGCCTGCCTTTGTAGCGCCTTTGCCCGTGGCTGCTGCTGCTTCTGCTTCTGCTTCTGCTTCGACCACCGCGCCCGCACCGCAGAGTGAGACCCAGATCCAGAGCCAGAGCCAGAGCCAGTGCCAGTGCCAGAGCCACAGCTGCAAACCCAACTACGCAGACGCAAGCACCCAATATACTCCCGACGGCCTGCCCCCTACCTACCGTGCCCCACAAACAGCCCCCGACATTGCCAACTGCACCTCTCTCGACTCGGCGGCACCCAACGCTTCTGCCATTGCGCATACACAGCGGGGGCACGCCTCCGCTAGGCCCGTCGTTACGGAGCCCCCAGAACCCAAACTGCGGCTCGATCCGCAGCCTCTCTCTCCCGCACACCATGTCCAGCCCCAGACCCGACGGACGCCCAAGCAGAAAGCAGAGGGCTCCCCCGACCACGTTGCGACACACAAGGGAGCGAGCACCGTCTTGCACGTGTCTGCCTCCCCCGCCAAGCGAGTCCGACCCGAGCAAGACCGGCATGTCAAGGTGATGCCGCTGCAGTATGAGACGTGCGATGTCCAGGATCTTGGTGTGCTCATCTCGGATATGCTCATGGAGCTCGTCCGTCTAAATGATGGATATCCTCTTCGTGACGGCACTCTTACGCGCTTCCATTCAAGGTACGTTGCATGGCAAAACCACTTGTCCCACAACCCACCCCAAAACAATCTACTGACGTCTTTTTCTCCCCCTACAGAGCCCCTCCTGGCATATCAGTCCGCGACTATCTGTCCCGTCTCATCGTCCACGCCACACTCTCCCCTCCCATCCTTCTCTCCATGGTCTTTTATGTAGACAAATTATGCGCCATGTATCCCGCCTTCACCATCAGCAGCCTCACGGTCCATCGATTCCTCATCACCGCAGCCACAGTGGCAGCAAAGGGCCTCAGCGATAGCTTCTGGACAAACAGCTTGTACGCGCGTGTGGGTGGTGTCAGTGTCCGAGAGTTGGCCCTGCTCGAGCTGGAGTTCTTGCGTAAGCTGGACTGGCGGATAGTCCCCAAGCCCGAGGTGCTGGTAGACTACTACAAAGGTCTAGTCGATCGCGGCACTGGATACGTCATGGAGAAGGAGTCAGAGACAGAGGCAGCAGCTAGTGCTAATCAGGCGCACTCGTCCAATGGGTCCGCGACTGGAATACACACCCACTCTACCAAAACATAGCGAAGGCGGCGTGATTCTTTGGCGTTTCCTGCCCTCACTGCCCTCATTCGCTGTTCGACTGCGAATGGTGAGGAAAAATAAATCCCCCCTCTTCCCCCCTTCCACGCCATACGCACATGGTGGTCTCGAGGGCTCATATTTCGAACTAGGCTCGTGGAAGGCGAACCGTCTTGAATACCAACACCAAACGTTAGCAACATCGTGGCCGCGTCTGTATGGCAGAGAGACACTGGTCTTGGTTGATTAGTCGTGAAGCATGACTCGAGGTTGAGCCACGCCGACAAGAAGCCCTGGACGACCTACAGCTGTCATTTCCAAGGGACATGCGGTGCGCTCAACCATGGCCATGGCCATGCTGTTGCACACCACAACTGTACGGCACGGCTCGTTACAGCCCGCTTGCAGCGGGGCCGTAGGCTGCAGTATGACAACACGAAGAACAGACTTGCAGCCATGCAAGGTCCCTGAACGAATGAGGAGGCAGGCGTAGGATGCGAGGTGCAGTGCAGTTGCAAAGGGCAGAATGCACGGCCCTACTGTAAGGCCAGTATGCAGGACCGAGATGGAATTGCGGCGAGGACGTTATTGGTAGATAGCCTTAGTGGATATGACAATCAACCTCTCTATTGAACGGGATCATTGTGTGCTTTCTTGAGCCATGAGATGACGAGACCATGGGGAAGGACAGCTAGGAGCGTCCGTCACGACTCACGAGTAACGTGGACGAGTAAGATGACCCCGCCCAAGTCGACCCCGGTCCGGTCAGCTACGGCCGTGCTAAAGAAGTGAGGCTAAGCTAGGTAAGACTCGCTCGACTTGGGGGAGGGAGGGGACAGGGACTTTTGGCTTCATGCCAGGTATCGTGCATCTTGCGTCTTGCCTCGCATCAGCAGCAGCAGCAGCAGCAGCAACGGCAAACGGCAACAGGAGAGCAGCAATAGCGAGGAAACAGAGGAGTCGGCCAGGGCGTGCCTATAGTGCGACGCGAAGAATGGAAGCCATGCGCGTGCGACATCCAGCACTAGTTACCAGACCCTCTCTGTCCTCTGTCCTCTACCGCTATCCTCTGTCTCTGCTTCTGTCTCTGTCTCTGTCTCTGTCTCTCTCCACTCCCTCCCTCCCTCTCCCTCTCCCTCTCCCTCTCCCTCTCTCTCTCCCCCCTCAGTCTACTAGAAACACAGCCCCTCCCCTCCCCAGGCTACCGGTATAAGCGACCTGGTCTGACACTGCTGGGCCCTGGCATGAAACGATTGACTGCTCCATCTGCATCCATCTTCCACACCATACCTAGCCTGTCAGACGTCTCCACCCCCACTACGTTCCTGACTGTATTACCTACTTCACGCTAGCAACCACCACCACTGGGCCAACCACCAAGACCTTTCGGAGATCCCACCTGACACCCCGCGGTAGACGCGTCCACTCCCCACGCTCACAATAGCGGCCGTAGCGCGACTACTACAGGAGGGTGGGCAAGAAGGTACTATGAGGGTGAGTGCAGGTGGTATAGCTAGGGCTAGGTAGCCTGGTAGCTGTCACGAGAGCTACTCACCCCCCAAGCATGCCCGAAAGATTCTTTGAATCGTAAAGCGCCACTG